ACTTCAGGATTTTATAGAAGGTAGTTTTCATTAAACTTAATGGGAAATACTTTTGAGGAAGACAGAAGAGTATTTTGGTAATGCAAGGACAGAAGAGGGCTTCATTTTAAGCACTGCTGAAAAATGATGGAACCCAAAGGAGTTTAATCCTCTGCAAGGCTGAGGGGAAGTCAGCTGACTGACACTGTCCATTGCCTGTCACAAAAGCACTCTTTCTAAGACAACGTCAGATGGGGAAAGAAAAAAATGATGCAGCCACTGAAGTTCATACCTAGAGAACGCCTAAGGGTTCCAACGGAATCCAATCATTTGGCCTCCCAGTTACTCTGTGTGTCTTTTGATAAAGAAAGCAGCACCAGAAAGTGTAAATTTTTAAAAAATCAGAACCTTTTTGCTCAAGAAACTTAAGTTGACGTTAGGATGAATGTCTCTGGGTTATAATTTTTTTTTACTAGAAACTGTGTATTAGAAGTACATTTTCTTGGGACCAGCAGATGGCCTAATGGTTATGTCACTGGACTCACACGTAGTCCACTATGGTTCGAGTCCCAGACCCAGTCACTTAAAACTCACGCTGGGCGCATGTACATACATGCCCAAGATCTCTAGAGGAGAATGGAGAAGAGATTGTGGCATGGCCATCCCCACTGTGGGGTTATTTCTCACTTTCTGTCTCTCTGGTGAGTACACGTGCCCTATAGCAAAAATCTCTTTCTTGGAAAAAAAAAAGTACATTTTCCTTCATTTGAGATGTTTCATAGTTCCAACAACTGGTAAGAGTTGCTCTTGTCTGCAGGCATACCCTGCATTTTTGTCTTCCTATCTTTTTCTAGAGTATCTCCCTTTTAGGAGCAAAAAATGTAAACTTCTCTGAGGGAAAAATTAGGCTTAAAGGCAGAGAGGAAGTACAGCGACAGATCATTTCAATTAAACTGTCATGATACAATTGAATTAGTGTCACACAAGGAAAATCCAGAAAGTAACTACAATGTTCTTCCCTAGCATGGTGGAAGTATAAAATTAGTAAAAAAAATAAAATAAAATAATCCTAAGTAATTTTAGTCATTTAATCTATATCATACATTCTTCATGCTTATATGACTCTTATGTAAATGGAAAGTCTATGCAAGTATATCACCGTAACTTACATAAAACCCATGAGACAAAGGTCTTTTTTGCCATTCTCCTATTGGAGGTATTAATTGGGCTAAGCCTTGAAGGAGAATCCTTACAGACACCTTGGAATGAGGGCATTCTAAAGAAAGATAATAAAGAAAAAAGCACAGGGATGTAACTGAAAAGGTCTTTAAACTATGAAATGTAAAACAGTCTGGCCAAATATTAAGTATAATATAAAGCATAAAGAAGATACTAGAAAAGAAGGCTCAAAAGTCAGAATTACTGAGAACTCTAGTTTTGCCTCCTAGGTAATTTAGATGCATTTATTATGAAATAAGAATTTGGGGGAATTTTTGAACAGGGCAGAGCTTTCAAAAGATGATACAATTAATTGATATAATATTTTTCACTTCTGCTGTGAAGTAAGCAAAAGCAAAATTGCCACATTCTTTCAAATCATCCCATTTTGTATTAATAGTACAAATAATAGTTTTGGTAAAAATAAATTGACAAATATTCAAATGTGGTTTAAAGATAATCTTAGGTAAAGATTATTTAAAACTTTTTTTCTCTGTATCATGATATACAAAGCTAGTGCATTTGTCTGGGGGGACCAGCAGTTGGCATAATGGCTATGTCACTGGACTCCAATGTAGTTGACCATAGTTCGAGTCCTGCAGCCGGTGGCTTAAACTCACACTGAGCACGTGTGCGTGCATGCCCAAGATCCCCAAAGGAGAATGGAGGAGAAGGGATTGTGGCATGGCCAATCCCCTGGGGAATGATTTCTCACTTTCTGTCTCTCTGTCTTTGTCTTTCTGGCGAGTGCATGCTGCCTATAGCAAAAACCTCTCCAAAAAAAAAAAAGGAAAAAAAGAAAGCTAGTGTATTTGTCAAACAGAAACCTATTGTATATTTTTAGGGAATCTTTAGGATGTTAAAATAATTTACCTGGGGCCAGCAGATAGTGTGGTGGTTAAGGCACTGGACTTCCACATGGCCAACTGTGGTTCCAGTCCCAGACTTGGTGACATGAAATAAGGCTGAGCACATGTGCATGTATGCCTAAAATTCCAAGAGGAGAATAAAGGAGAAGGGATTGAAGCATTGCCATCACCTTTGGGGGATGATTTCTCACTTTCCCTCTGTGTGTCTCTTTGGCAAGCACATGCACCCTATGACAAAAGCCTAAATCATAATAATTAATAATAATAATTAATAATAATAATTTACCCTTGACATAGTCTTTCAAGAAAAGTTTTTTTTTCTAAAAAATGGTAATTCTCAAAGAGATAAATCTTTATATAGATCCATCTATGCGATTAACAAAGTTAAAATTCAGCTCTTTTATTAAAAACTTAATAGGAGGGACTAGCAGATGGTGTAATGGTTACTCTTTGGAATCTCATGTAGTCAACCTCAGTTCATGTCCCAGACCTGGCAGCTTGAAACTCACACCAGGAGCATGTGTATGTGTTCCCAAAATCCTGAGAGGAGAATGGAAAAGGGATTGTGGTGTGGCCATCCCCTCGGGGTGGGGTGATTTTTCACTTTCTATCTCTCTATCTCTCCAGTGAGTTCATGCACCCTATAGCAAAAAAAACTCTTAAAAAAAGAGTAATTGGAAATATGATCTTTTTCTTCACACTAGCTATATATTTTTCTGTTTTATGGAATGCTTTCTGAGGACTGCTATTATTTGTGGAATTAATTCTAAGGTGTTAATTATTTGTACAGGATTCTAGAAATGTTTGGCATGAAGTAATCTTTCATTTTGCTAAGGCATAAATGTGAGTCACATATTCTCAGTAAGTATCCAGGTACATGCTGTCAAGTTAGTGTGTGAATCCTACCAGGCCTCGAGCACCCACTGTCCAAAGTGGTTTTGTTTCTCTCTACTCAACCTTTCAGCAAGATGGAGAATGAAGATCTGGAGGGGCCACTGATATTTATTATGTCATACTTTGCTTCATTTTAGACAATAACAATATAATATGAAGTTATTACAAGATGGAAGTATGTAAAGGATGTGCCAGTAATGCCTCTTGAAGTTCTACTTCACATTTTAAATTGAGCAGATTAAGAATGAGAAAGCCTACCATTGAAAAAGTCCAGTTGATTGTTTCCCTGTGAAATCTATGACTCACTAGAAAAATGTGAGAAAAATCAACAGAAGTTCTAGAGTGTTAAGATTCTAAATCATCTCTAAATAATGCTGGCAATGTGACTCTTTGGGACTGAATCATTTGTTTTGGATATAATAAAAATTGTCACACAGTTGATTAAATGTTAAGGTCAAAAACAGATTTATGCAACCAAATTTGGAAATTTCATTTTTGCAATAAGTGAATCATGTTTGAATTTTGTTTTGATCACTTGGTAATGAGTCACTTGATGGGTACTCTAATGATCTCTAAAGTATAATTTGTAAATGAAATAAGAAATCTCGTATATCCCTAAGGAGTAGTAGAATGACTCACAAAAATTCTATCTTATTTCTAAAATAATTAAATACTCATGGAGAATAACTTAAATTCTTATAATTAGAAATAATAAATCAAATGGTTGACTTTCAGGAAGTAATTTATCTATGAGGTGTTGAGTATAATGATCTTTATTGGCTTCAGACTATCTGTATCTACAGTTAACACGAAACATGTACAACACAGCTACATTTATTGTTAATATAAACTCTGAAATATCCTTTTAAAATTTTTATTATCCTCTAAAAGAGTAGACCAATCATCCTGTCTTCTGAATTCTAGTTTTGACAAGAGGTCCTTCCCTTGGGTTGCTACTGAGAGCCGTCAATGATATTTCCCTGTGAGGGACAAGCTATCTTGTCAGTGTTAGGCAGGCACTGAGATTTGCACTTTGCCCAGTTAAAAATAGTCAGGATTCAATGTCCTTTTGAATTTTTTATTATTTTCTGCAAATACAAACAGATGTGCTAACATTCTTAGAGATGGCTGGCTATACATCTAGGGTAAATTTATCTAGACGTTTTTAAAGAATTATTTATTTAACTTTAATAATCATTAATGGACTAATCTGTCTGACCTTATACCGAGGAACTAGCCATGGACCTTGATTTTCTGACCTCTAAAATAGGAAGAATGCTTCCACACAACCATCCACAGACAATGACTTCTCCTGAGCAGTTGTCAGAGAGGGTCCTTCAAAAGGCCCTAGCAGAAAACCTGCTAGTGAATTTTAAAACCCTTTTTATCAGAGCAGAACCAGAGTCTCTTTGCTGACCCTCCAGGAAAAACAAGATTCTTCCCCTACGTGAATGAGAATGCTGACCTGTAGTGTTCAGCCAAGCTAGTTGTGAACCTCACTGAGCTATGGGGACCAGGAGAACAGTAATGTCAGGTGTATGAGGTGATTAATAATTGTAATAGGTGACAATGTGTGTTGGGCAAGTGCACACATTCTGGTTACCTGTACCCAGCAGCTTAAAAGAAAAATACACAGTGAAATTCCTCTAATTCCTTCAAGATCCTGGGCTGAACCATGCTGAACTATGCTATTGAGCCTTCCACAGAGGAGAACTGAGTCCAAATGTTGTTGCCTGTGATACTGGCTGCCTCCCTTCACAGATGACCTGAGTTTCTCCTTCTAATTGTTTCCACATTACACCTTTGTACAGTGTGATACCTAAGGCTCTGTAGCATTTGGTCCTCGAACATGCGGAGCATTGGGAGTTCATTTGTTGCATCATAGAACGACTCTTCTGTTCTATTTGGTAGCCTTTTCTCTTAAATGATTATGTAAATGGAAGGAAATCTGAAGCCTCCTTGGTGCTACCCATTCTGGTTACCTATACCCAGCAGCTTGAAAGAAAAATATACAGTGAAGTTACTTCCAATTCCTTTTAGGTTAGGATTTTAAACAAGAAGATCGATTTTAGCAAAGTTCAGTCCAGATGTGGCTCCAAGGATAACATCAAACATTCTGCTGGGGGCGGAAATGTAAGTAGAAGTTGATTAGAAAACTAGACCGTGTGGAGCCATCTGCACAGCCCACACCTGGTCTCCTTTCCTGCCTTCCTCCTCACACACGCCCGCCTTCTCGCTGCTGTTCACCTGTCCCCTGGCGTGGTAGCTTGTCAACCCTGCCTTTTCTGTGATGGGTTTCCCATCCTTCCTTGTAAGATTGTCAGCACATGTCCTGCTTTCGGTTGAGAGAGAAAACCTTAATGGGATGCACCATGGTTTTCCAGAGGATGGCAAACCCACTTCACTTGCCAACTTTGTTTGTGGGCCTTTCTGTCTTCGAGGTATTTCCTCATGCTGTCTCTTCTCTCCTGCACAAACCAACGGGGCACACACTATTCTAGCTCTCTAAATTACCCTCGAGGCAGAGACTGATACACTTGAAAGTGCCTGAACTATATATGATGTCAATCATCCATGGTTCATTATTCATGAAAGCTTGGATATCATTTAGAATAATACAAAACTGGTGAAGTGTGATTCATCTATAATTCACACTGAAAGGATTGAAGTCCTAGTATACACTTTGTGTTGATGATTTTTCCTGACTCTTTCATTTAGTGGAAATAATATCCTGTGAGAGGAAAGGAGAGGAGAATTATGTGTTTGTAAGTGTGGTTGAAGCAGTTGAAATGGTCAGGCAAACCCAAGCTAACAGAAGCATAGTTCTTTATAAAAAAAGAAATTTCTTTTAAGAAATGAACCAGGCTGACTCTCTAGTCTAGAGATCCAGTCACCTAAACTACAATTTCTGATCATTTATGCCCCAGGTATAGGGCATCAAATCTAAAATCCGCAGCTGTCTTATAACTCATGGCTACTTGCTTATCCACTAGGCAGAAATGAAATGAAGCAGAGAAGGGAGAGAGAAATGCCTTCTATGAGGGGCTGTCACTTCTAATCAAAGTAGCTCCACTGAACACAAAACTGTCACTGTCATGGGAAGTCAATGGCAATGTTTGCAGGGCTCCTTCAAGGATGCTGGCCTTAGCCTTGGGGTCAATATTTACGCTGACATGTGTGCTCTCCTCCCTTTTGCTCTTGCTGTAAGTGCACACCATATTATCCTCTCTCAGAAGCAGTCCCAGTCCTGGTAAACAATTTGAGAGTATCAGAGAATGGAACCCAGCTATCCTCTAACACAGATGCTGCTGGTCAAACACTTACGTGAAAAAGGATAAACTGGGTAACTAAAAATCTTTAAGTAAAGAGAGGCGCTTCCAACCTCTAAAAGAATAGCCTTAACTTTTTTCTCTTGAAAAGAATCATTTGTTTAAATATGTGGATACCCTGGCCTCGACCCCATGATGTCGGATTCAGTAATTTCATGTACTTCTTTGATGCAGATGGGTAATGAGCCACACTTGAAGAAGCACTGCTTCAAATGTTGGAATAAAATGCTAAAAGCAAAAAATAAATGTTGCTAGCATTTTATAATTTGGTGTGAAAACAAACAAACAAACAAACAAAAACTACTCAGCCAAGATATGTTAACTTAGTAACCATTTAGGAAAGCATATTTAGAACTCTCTTCTTCTTGTATCTTAAAGCAATGTTGGTCTTCTCTTAGCAATGAACAACATTGGTCATTTGTATGTAACAATCATTTTATTTTTTAAAGTTTATTCACCCATTTTTTTCCATGAGAGAAAGAGACAAGAGAGATAAAGAGAGAGGGGGGCACCACCAATCATGTCTTCATGTCATGATCCACCCTAGCCTCAGCCAGCCTGAACCATGTACATACCTGGAGTGTATGGGGAGACCTCAGGACATGAACCTGGGACCTTCCCATGTGGGTTCAGCATTGCAGAGCATTGTGTTACAGCTATGTCACTATGGCTGGCTCTGAATATCATTCTATAATGAATAATTAATATTTTCCCTTGGCTCTTTGCTTATGGAAAGATTTAACATGGTATGGCTAAGTTTTCCAAGTAGAAGCTCACCTTATTAATATGAGTGTTTCTATCCTCTTGTGGCATGATCTTTTTTCTACTAATGATACCTTTTGTTCCAGGATTTTCTTTCACTTGGATCACTCTTTCTAATCCAAACATGGGAGAACATTTGGGAAATTGCTTTTTGGTGTGTGTGTGTGTGTGTGTGTGTGTGTGTGTGTGCACGCGCATGTGAGTGTGTATCTCAACTTTGATTTCTGATCATGATGTTGTGAGTTTGGGTACGTTACTAGATTTTAAGTATAAGCTTGGGTGGGTTGCCCATGTCTAAAATATTTTAATCATGGTTTATATGGTTCACACAGGTACAAATTGTTACCAAGAAGATAGACCTCAGCCATGTGACATCCAAATGTGGCTCTCTGAAGAACATCCGCCATAGGCCAGGTAGATATTTAATTTTTAGTAGTTTGAGATATATTTTATTAGACTAAGGAAACAGACAGGCAGATTTTTTTGTTACTGTAAAATACCCAATTGGAAAGATACTTCAAAATCCTGATACTTAGTGGATTTGTTCATAGGAACTTAAGTTAGAAATTCAAGGCATCTTCATTTGTGATAAGTGAACTGAATTGCCATTAATAGGTCTTTTCTCACAGAACAGGTTAAAAATTAAAAGATGCATAGATACATATAACTTATGAACTCAACATGTTTATAAGATCCTTGAGTTCAGACTCATTAAGATTAGGGGAATTGTCAAAACTGTCTCATGCCAGCCTGTGACCTGGTGATTAAGGGTACGAGATCCCACATAGTCATCCACACAGTTCAAGTTCTGGACCTGGTGCCTTGAAAATCATGCTGAGGGAGCCAGCAGATGGTGTAGTGGTTAAGGCACTGGATTCCCACATAGTCGACAGCGGTTCAAATGGCTTGAAACACACTCCAGGGGCATGTGCGTCTATGCCTAAAATTCCAAGAGGAGAATTGAGAGGGGTTTTCAGATGACCATCCCCCCTGGTGGGAGGGGGTATTTCACACCTTCTCTCTCTCTTTTCTCTCTGATGAGTACGTGCACCCTATCACAAAAGTCTCTCTTAAAAAAATAAAATCATGCTGGGCATATATGTGTGCATGGACAAAATTCTGAAGGATGGAGAGATGAAGGAACAGGCATTGTGGTGTGGCCATTCACCATGAGGAGTGTTTTCTCCTTCTCTCTGTTATTGTCTCTCTGTCTCTATCTCTAGCAAGCACACACTTCCCATATGCAAAATTAAATTGAAAAATCCTGTCACAATAGTGTAAGACCAAATTTAGTGTCAGTTTATCCCTTGGCATCTGAATAAGAAGGGCATTGCCTAGGTTTTTATTTCCATCATTCCTATCTCCTAACTTTTCACCAGAAAAGTTATCAATGTTCAAAATTTTAAGATAAATAGGTTGCCCATTTGTGTACCATTTACAACCTAAAACATTTTGGATAACTGTTACCATGAAGAACAAGAGTTTCTTGTCAAGTTAATTTGCTCCCTTAAAAATAAGAGAATAGGGAGACCAGCAGATGGTGTAATGGCTATGTTGCTGGACTCCCCTGTAGTCGACCAGGTTCTAGTCCCAGACTCAGCGTCTTAAACTCACGCCAGGCATGTGTGCATGCATGCCCAAGATCCCGAGAGAAGAATCGAGAAAGGATTGAGGCATGACCATCTTCCCTGGGGGGTGATTTCTCGCTTTCTGTCTCTTTTCCTCTCTCGGTTTTTCTGGCGAGTACACAGGCCCTATAGCAAAAACTTCTCAAAAAAAATTTTTTTTAAATAAGAGAATAGGGGCCAGACGATGGTATAGTAGTTAAGGCACTGGACTCCCACATGAGTGACCTTAGTGGCTTAAAAATCGTGCCAGGAGTGTGTGTATGTGTGCCCAAAATCCCAGGAAGGAAGTGGAGGAGAAGAGACTATGGCATGGCCATCTCCACGGTGAAGTGATTTCTTACTTTCCTTCTCTCTCTCTCCAGCAAGTCCATGCATCCTATGGCAAAAACTTAAAATAAACAAAAAAGGAAAAGAAAAGAAAAGAGAGGAAAAGAGAGACCACATGCTCCAAGTTTTAGAAAAGATGCAATAAGATATTTTCATTGTGTTATTTTTAGAGCGTTTGTTATATTGATAAGAAAAGCACCTGTGAGTACTTAGATTACACATGGGAAAGGAAGCAAGGTGTTAATATATCAGACATTCCGTGTTATGATGCAAGAAAGTTGGCATTACCTTGAATTGAGTGGGGGGTGGGTTGGGATGGTATATGAACTAGAAATTCTGAGAGATACTTTCACATCTATGGTCAGAGGGACAGTGGACTTCAAAATTTTGTGCTTGGCAATGGTCAATCCCCCGTAATCTCTTTATGGAAATAGTCATCATACAAACAAGATTTCACTTTAGCAAGGCATTTAAAATCTCTTCCCTTCTCATAGGTGGTGGCCGTGTGAAAATTGAAAGTGTAAAACTGGATTTCAAAGAAAAGGCCCAAGCTAAAGTCGGTTCACTGGACAATGCTCACCATGTCCCCGGAGGCGGCAATGTCAAGGTGAGAGACAAGGTCATGAGCCAGTATTATCTGTTTGGTTTTTCATTGTTCTGAGATCCTCTCCACTGAACTGGGTCCCAGATTAAAGACCTGGACCGACAGCATGATAAGTGTGGTAGCAGAGCCCAGTAGAAGTCACATTACTCTCAGCTCTGGGATATAGAGAAAAAGCTAGGGCCAGTGACAATGCTTGGGTTAACAAGGACTGATGCTTGTCTTAAACAGATTGACAGCCAAAAGTTGAACTTCAGAGAGCATGCGAAGGCCCGTGTGGACCATGGGGCTGAGATCATTACACAGTCCCCAGGCAGATCCAGTGTGGCATCGCCCCGACGACTCAGCAACGTCTCCTCTTCTGGAAGTATCAACCTTCTCGAATCTCCTCAGCTTGCCACTTTGGCTGAGGATGTCACTGCTGCACTCGCTAAGCAGGGCTTGTGAATATTTCTCATTTAGCATCGAAGTAATAATACTTAGGCATGAGCTCTTGGCAGGAGTGGGCTCTGAGCAGGTGTTATATTCATTCTTTACAAATCATAAAATAAATAATCTCATCCCCAAACTGTAGTCATTGTTACAATTTTATATTTAAAAACATGAATAGCCTATTGCAGAAATTGACCTGGTTTCCATTTGCAACAGGAAGACACTGGCTTTACATGGGTACAATTGGACAATTATTTTTGCTCTGCTCTGTTTTGCATGGAGTTATTATTTTAAAAAATTGCATTTTTACCTTTCATGTGCCTGAAGGCTAGCCACTACATTCTGAAAGGCCTTGTTCAAATCCAAGCTGCTCATTTCACTATTCTGTTTCTGAGTGAAAAGATCAAAACTGCCCATTGTAACTTATTAACAGATTAAATTAAATCAAGGAGTCTGATTGCGGGAAAGGAAGAGCATGTAAGAAATACATTTTTTTAAAGTGTTATTTTGTATAAATGGGAAGAAAGATTCAATTAAGTTATTAACATTTGGGGCCTGGATAATTATATCAGAGTATGTCAATCCAATAAATTATTTAATTACAAAATAGTTATGAAGCATTGGAGCTGTGGTTGAGGAAGTGCTGTCAAAGTGCATCTCTTAGGAATGATGCACTTTCATTAGGAAGGACTCGTGTCTGAATAGAATGTCAGTTGATTGGCTAGATTTGTGTCCACACTACCAGTTTCATACCCCCTTTCCATCTGTTTGATACAGTATTATAGATATAAATATATATATATATATTTCTCTGTGGCCATTTGTGATACTTCCTCATATACTTGAATATTATACTTCTTTATTCACAGTATCTGTGTCTCCTGCACCCTTTGGTGTTGCAATTTTAGGTATGTGAAAGTAGATGTTAGCAGGGTTCTTTCCCT